TAAATAATATAATGTATATAGATATAGATGCAGCTATTTTAGCCCTTGGACATTCTCTTTATCTCTGCATGCATCACTTGGTTTCTAAAACTGTGACAGGTCCAAGCCCACTTCTCCTGTAAGACCTTTTCTTGATGTACAGTAGGGCTGATCCTAAGAGCGTCCTTCAGGGTAGTTTTTCCTCAAACTCCTTCTGAGGGAAAACCCATTCCCTTCTTGGTTGTCTCTGTGACCCTTCTGAACAGTTAATTAGCTGTAATTGCTCAGTTTTTCCAGGCTAGAGAAGTAAGAAAGTAGGAGCAGCCTGTAGTAAGTAGGGGGAAGTTAGATACTACTTCTTGTGACCTGTAGAAGCTTGAGCTGCTGCTGATTTCAAAGCTAGTTGTTAGTTTCCTGAGTGATGTAAATGCTTTTCACCAGCAACTGCAGCTGCTTCTTGCTTTTCTTACCATTGAGTTACTGCAGCTGTCAATCATTTATTAATTTTTCTTATGTTTTACCTCCACTTTATAACAGTTTTATATAAAAGTATATGATTTTATAATAAATGCTAACTTTTTAAATATTATCAAATTCTATAAAATATCTAGGTTTCTGAGACTTTCTTAGCCATAGTGTGGGAAGTGGTGAATCCATAGTTTGGGAGAGTTTCAAAAGAATGCAGAATTCTTCCTGTTGCTAACCTAAAAGCAAAGCAGTGATTTATCACCCAAAACCTTGGTTCCTTGCTGGCCTACCCCCACTTACAGAGGACCTCGGATGCTGTACAAGCACGTGAGATGAGACTGAGTTCAACAGAAGAAGCAAGAGTGGTGGAGGCCAATTTGTGACTGACCTAGTCAGAACGATGTTGGGCAGCTGTGTGCGATTTGGCATTTCAGATACAGAGACTGTAGCCCCTTTTGTTCCATGGCAAGCGTGCTGCAAAGTTCATGCCAAAATATGATGGTGAATTGTTTAGCTGTGCAGGAGAGCATCAGAACTGAATGGTTATTGTGGAATAGTCTTAATCTTTGCAAATTATAAAGCAAATGGTTCAGATGTCTTGCTTTATTTGAACGATCCCTCTCGGGGCAGAGGGGGAGAATAAAGTGTTTCACTACTTTTTTTTTAATTATTAGAAGGATGAATAGTGGGGTAGGGAGA